CGCGCGATATAATTTTGCGGAGCAACGCGGCGAACGGCCGCGTTTAGTAGAAAATTTATTTTATAACTGTTGGAAGTTTGCTGAAGTTGTCTGTGCTGAGGTTGGATTATCCCTCGAAATTTCAAGGAATAACCCGGCTCAGGAAACTTCCAACAGTTGCAAATTAAATATTCTGCTGAATGTGGTCGATGATCCGTCTTTGTCATTTATATATGTCATAGGTCGGTTGTAAGTTGCGAGAATCGCGTGAATAAAGTTGAATTTACAAAAATATCTCGGATATTTAACCCGGTTGCGAAAGCTTATTAATTACGTACGTACGCGCATATCTTTGCAAAGGTGAACAGAAAAGACGGCGGATACTGATTTAAAATACGCTGTCTCATTAATTTATAGGATCAGCTGTGGCGCGCAAATTGTATTATGCATTTGCGCGGGTAATAAAATATTCGCTAATTGCAGTACGCATTATGTGTGTGCACATGGAGGGCTTGAGAAATGGTCGAGCGTTGCATCAGATTTTTCATGCTCTATCGATTGAATTCTTGCACGGACACGCGTGCTACGTCGTGCGTACGCGTCCGCTACGTTTGCACTTGACATAGATTTCAGGCGGTCTTATTGGATAATATATTTCTCAGCGACGTAACCCATAGTTTACGTAATATCAGCTACTCATGCAAGCTGTCTATTCGTCTTCCCGGCCGGCGTACGAACGATCTTATCTCAATACGTGCCATGCTTTCGTTACGGCGTTTCGCCAAATGTCTGTTTTAACTCTACGGTGTTAAGTGCTCACGTATTCTTGATCGTTTTCCAAGGTGTACGCGTCTAATAGCGGCGCAATGTTAACACAATTAATATTTATAAAACTATAAGTCCGAGTCGAAATGTGAAATTCTGTTTTAAGTCTTTAAGTGGCAATAAGTGCCCCTTTAATGCTAGGAAACAAAGGGAATTTAGCCCTCTATAGTCTAAATTTTAGTTCTACATAAAGTCTCCAAGTGAAGAAAGCAGCAATAATAATTCCCCTATTTGTAGCAGCAAAATAGCACAATAGAAGACCTTTGAATATTTAATGTAGAACTAAAATAGACTTAAACTGTGACTCGGGAGAAATGAGTGATTTCAATTGGGCAATATCATAACTCGACAATTCGAATCATCATCACGTAAAAAGTCGACATCAAGTAAAAGTCATGGAATATCGTTCGGGACAATCCGCGCTATGCGATGATAATCGTTGAAATATCGCTCGTGTTTCACAAGAATCCGGCAAGAGCTCGCACGAACAGAACGGCCACGGTAAAATCACGCAGCAGGTAGCACGGAAAAGTACGAATATGCAAAACCGAGGTGTGGTATTTTGTGTGCGTCTTTCTCGCGTGTAATTCCGAGACATTGTCGTTTGAGTTGCAACAATAAGCTGGCGTAGTAACGTGCTCGTTTCGCAAGGGAGCAACGCGGCCTAACTCGAGGGGACGTGTCGGCAGAACGAAGAAAACTTAGAAGGTGAAACGAGAACGATAGGCGCGTCCAGAACTGCTGGTGCTTAAAACGACATAAATTTGGAACTCGTCAAGAAAAGAGCGTTGAATTTATTTCAGAACTTTTTTAATAAAGACGAAGAGCCGCTTGAAATGAGAAATTCGCGGGAAGGCTTGTATTCGTCTTCGCTATATGCAAGATCGGACACACTATTGTAAATTCTCCTCGCTTACGTAACGCAAAACAAGCCGTCATATTTTATGTGATGTACAAGATGTGAGTGTAAAATTAAAAAAAGGAATTTTTTAATCTTGCATTCTTGTTTTCAGAGATGAGTCTTGGTGATGATTATCAATGAACTATAAGCGTAACTGATACTTCCTTTCTATATTTCCTTCCTCTAGTTCCTTTTTATATATTCTTGCGACCTCGCAGTATAGTTGATAAGACAAAATGTAGCGCGATAACATTATTATCGATTTTGTCCAACATATTTGTTTTTCCCTTTCTTTTAACACTTTGAAAAAGTAGAAACGTTTTTTAAGCGAGTAGTGCTATTTTCACACAATACTTAATACATGCATGTTAGTTCGTAATAGCGCCGTTGATTTTGCAGTAGTCGATTAGATAACGGTATTGTTAAACATGAGCTCGATTTCAAGCAATCACACGATACTTATTATTTTGTTACATAACAGAAATTAATCAGGCGGACAGACAGGTACAAGCCGTGAACCCATATAACTATCAGAGCATGTAGTTTGGCATGTAGTTAAATATCGTTCCGCGTCTACTTGACGTGAAAGAACTACCAGTCGCAGTTCGGGCGTCGAATCATGCCAGATTAGAAATGATTAACGTGAAAGACGAGTGGTGTTATAAGACATTGTCTTGTATCTATAATGAAAAATCGTGAAAGACGTGAGAGAAGATATAATTATTACCAAATTCTGTTTTCAGTGCGATAAAACCATAAATAAAATTCCATTTTCGGTGTAATAAACCACAAGATTCGCGTGGTTCACCCACTCGTTGTTCGTATACGAGTTAACTCGCGATATCGTTCACGATTGTCCCACGTTTTTACCCGCCGTCAGATAAAAAGTTGATCAAGTGTGACGACAAGGGTAGCGTAGATCCGGCCCAGGACGAAGTCGCGAGTGCGGTGTTTTGCAAGCACGCTGCCGGCACATCACGAACGAAACGGTGAAAAAGTACGTCAGTGTCGAAACTATGCGGCATGCTATCCGCTTTGAAAGCCTGCCAAGATTTTGAATACTGATTTCGGAATGTCGATAGCTCTCCCACTACGTCCGATCAGGTAGAATTATACGTTCGAATTGTTTATCAAGATCGAGATTATATGTATATCTATCGAATCTTTTGAATAAGTTTATAAGTGAAGTTAACGCAAGTCACGTATTTAGAAAAAATGTTAAAAAAATAAATAATTCGCAAAATCTTGTGAACGTAGTGCTAGATACACGTATATAATGAATATATATATACATATTGTTACGCTCGGAAAATATATTCTGCTGCCTCCTTTTTCTTTCGGTAAAATTTCCAAAAACTTAGGAATCTGATGTCACACCCGGGTGGTCCAGAGACGTGACGTATATTTCGGGAATTGGGGATAGTCGGATGATGGTGCGTTGTACGCGAGAAGAGTTATAGAAAAGAAAGCTTTATTTAAAGATCCGGACAAGTCTTTTACCGATTGGGAACCTTGTCCCTGGTTCGCGCTGCATTCGGCAACGATTATACGGATTACGCGAGATGCGCGAGTGCGAGGTCGGATATTAAGGACTCCACCTTCCGGGTCGGCACGACTCTTTTATAGTCTCACCTTATTCTTTTAGGGGGATATATTAGCAACAGGTCAACGGACGTGTATCGTCCGGAAATTGTGTAGCGGCGTGTGCACCGCGATGCTTTCTTGCAAGGCGGTGCTTTTCTTCCAAGCATTGCACATTCATAGCGTTGTCGAAACGTCCTCGGTGGCGTTTTAGTAACGCTAAGGTGAGTATAGTAACGCACAGTTATAACACTGACTTGGTATAAGCAGCTATATCTATTTTTCTGATAAATTTTCATTTTCTTTATTGCAATTAAAAAAACTAAATAATTTACTATGTAAATTATTTTCTATGTAAATTATTTACCGCGTAAATTATTTACTATGTAAATTATTTACCATGTAGATCATTTGTTATGTACATTATTTTGATATATATGAGGTAAATTTAATTCAAACGAATGAATATTATTGTTCTTGTGCCAAAACCTTTTAGTTATAATCCAGAATTTCAAGTTGATTGTGTAGTCCACGTACAAATTGTAATAAATGAAATGCAACAATTTAAATACTTATACCAATAATTAACTCATATTAATGTAAATCAGAAATAAAATTCGCTGTAACTTAGATCAGAACCCACGCAGGTGAAAGTTACACGGTACGTTTCCATCGTAGATAGAATATTGATTCAAATGAATGCCAGTAGAAGGTTAACTTGTTCACCACCAGGTGACACTTGCTGTACAAGAGAGTTATTAATATAATTATGAAGAATGATGAGAATATATCTTTTATCTTTTATTTAAGCACAAATATTTTTATAGTTTTCAACTAACCAATTTCAATAATCACAATAATGAGTTTCTTAGCATTACTCTATAACACACATTACAAATGAATAAAACAATTTAGTAATAATCTCACACTTAAATATATCAAAATTAAAGAATGAAAAAGGAACGAATGACCGTTTTTTGGCGAGATGCTTTCTCTCCATGTATTTTGCAATGGTTTTGTTAACACTTTGCGATCCGCGGCCATCCTAAGACACTTGACTAATGTGTTTCAACTTATCGAAGTTTTTTCTTTTTATACAAATATTCATATCTAAAATCACCATATGTTTATCATATGTTTCGATTTATCGATAAAATCAATGCTGTCAGATCGCAACGGCACCATGCCGTCGATGAACCGTAACATCGAAACGAGCACGAAGGTATCATGCCGTCGACGGACCGCAAAATGTTAACAAACAAGATAGGTGTGTGCGTGCGTGTGCGTGTATGTGTGCGTACGGTAGGTATCGTATAAATACGAGGTCGCACGGCGTACAGCGAAAGAAAAAGAAACGCAAGACGTGAAGAAAGAGTTAGGGAGTAATATTTGAGTTGCGTTAAAATTACGACTTAGTAGTGTTTAAGAGTTGTTAGTGTGACAAGCCGAGCGGAGATTGTGTATTTAGTGTTCGAGCATTACATGTTACATTAATTTAATAATATCCAGAGTTCATTTCAAATACCATTTCTCTTTTATCCCTACTTATATTTTATATTGCAGCTGCAGCTGTGTCCACAGATCGCAAACATTATTGAAGTGTGCAAAGTATAAATAAAGTAATATTTTAATATTATTAATATATATTTATTAAGATAATATATATTTAAAGTGATATTTTGATATGTCTTCGGGACAGTATCTTCAACCCAACATGGTAGATCCGTCAAAATATAACAACTCAATGTATTTTTACATACCATATATATTTGAGGAGTTTGAAGAAGAAATAATGAATATGGCAGGAAAGTGTATGGATATCGGTTGTGGTCCTGGTTATCTTACAAGATATATTCTTCTATCTGCACTCGATCCAAAAGCGGTAGTCGTTAGTAAAAAAGTAAAACATTAAAATATAATATAATATACACGTTGAAGAGAATTATTGTTTAATTATGTATAATGCAAAGGTATGGATATTTCGGAAAACATGATCGGACATGCCAAGGAATATAGTGACGAAGAAAGATTTAGATTCAAAGTATTAGATATTGGAACTAAACATATACCTGAAAAATATTTTGATGAATATGATCATGCATTCTCATTTCACGTTTTGCAATGGTGCCCTGATATTCGGTAAAAAAGATGTTTAAACGAAAAGAAATTGATTTTCTTCATTTATGAATACTTTTTCTGAAACGCAGCTTCTTTTTTAAATAGTCTTTCGCGATCGATATATGAAAATATTTTTCGACATTTCCAGGATCCAAGGAAATAAAGATGTAACTTCATTGATTCAAGAAAATACAATTTAATAATTTAATATTTTAATTTTACATTTTTATTTTTATTTTATTCATAAAAAGTGCTCTAATATAATCTAACAAACTTATGATACAAAGAATAATTTAATTTACTTTTTTTATTTAACAGACAAGCATTTGAAAATATTTATCGTTTACTTCGATCTGGTGGAACCATATTAGCATTAATGGCAACATCTTCCGATTTATTTTATACTTTTCAGGAAAAATCGCAAAATTTTTCCGAAAATCTGGATATTATTAATCCGATATGCATCCTACATAAAACTAAATATTAATATTATCCTTATGCTTTTTCTTTTGCAATTATTCATCTACAAATTATTAAATATTTTACTTGTATAGAACGTGAAGAATCTTGTTTCGACATTTTTTTGATTGGGTTAAACCTCATAAAGAACTGAAAACATTACTCAAAAGTATTGGCTTCAATGTTCTTCATTGCAGTCAACGGAAGAGAAGCATTACTAGCGAAGATGCGCACAAGTTACCACGTATATACTTTTAAAAATATGTTCACGGATAGCAAATTTGATCTCTATAATTTGATTATCGTTTAATGTATCAGTATTTGGTATAAACACTAGTTAAGTTGTTTTTAAAAAAATTACTATTTAATATTAATTATTAATAATATTAATTATTATTTTTTCAGAGATGTTATTATCTTTTGTCACACAATTCTTAGGAAACATGCCCCAAGTCCTAGTGGAACAATTTAAAGATGAGTTTACAGAAGAATATATGAGAAGGAGGTTTTATTATAGACAGACGTATAAAAAGGGAGAAAGAATTTTGTCAGATATAGATGAAATATTAGTAGTTTATACGCAAAAGGATAATAATAACGTATAATATAGAAAACACTTTTTTGTTGAAACGATGTGGTATTATCAATGATTGGAGTTTATCTTATTCTTCCGGCGCTATAGCCTGTACGTGCGTTACCGCAGACGAGAAACACATATCTAGAGACAGAAAATTTCTTGCTGGAAGTTCCAACACGATCAATTGCATTTATTTATTTTAACCGAATAATTATTAATTATTGAGAGAGAAAGAGGGAGAAAGAAAGATCGGGCGGCAACTCTCGCTTCCATCTGGCGAGATGCTTTCTCTCCATTCATTCCGCAATGGTTCTCTTGCCCAACGAGAGAGAGCGATCGAGAGAACTCCAATAACGTAGCCGTTGGGATCCTCCATAGAACCATTTTTGGCCAGACCGTCCGCTATCTCGATGGTCATTAATTACTAACTCAAAATTTGGCGTAATTATCTGCAAAATATCAAAAGACTCTTTCCTGTATAACGTCGAATAACGTCAAATGATTAAGATTGTTTTATATTTTCTCGAATTTGATCCGCGTTTAAAAAGTCATGCCATTCCGTCAGTTGACGCGAGACACTCACAAAAGTGGTACCGTTATCAGAATATACAACGACTGGCCTCCCTCGCCGGGATATAAAGCGTTTGAAAGGCTGCTAAGAAAGAGGCTGTTCAGATGTGAGGTCACTTACCACCTCCACGTAAACGGCCTTAACTGCGAAACATACAAATATCGCGATGTATGCCTTGTGGTTGCGAGCGTTTCGTCGTTTGCCCTCACGCAGTATTAACGGGCCGATATAAACGACACCGCGATAGGAAAACGGTCGAGAAGGCGTTATTCTAGGAGACGGCAATATTCCCATCCTTGCTTCTGAGATGGATGATTTACATTTGAAACAGGTGATGCAGCGCCGGATAATTCCGCGTGTAGTTGAGCGCATAGTTGAACGTGTAGTTCCGCGTGTAACTGAGAGTGGCCACAATTTTTGCCTAACTGTAGGTAAATTTAATTTCGGCAATCGAATATGACATTGAATGCTATTGTCCGCGACGGCAGACACAGAAGGTGTCGGTGCCGTGACTGGCGGAGCATTTGTCAAAGAAATCATGCGTCTTATCGTGAAAGATAAATCAAAGAACATGTCTTCAAATTGAATCCGATCATGATCTTCATCCTCACAGAGAGTTACCAACTTTTTTTTTCACTCATTTATTCGAAATTGAATAAGAAATCGAAATATGTTAACATTATTGTCGTAACTGATTGAAAAGTACATGTAATTTCTAATCGTTTATAACTTTTATGAATTTGTTTAAACAAATTACATGCTACATAGAACTATGTTTTGTTTTAATAAGATAATAAAATAATATCAAAATTTTCCCATTTTCATCAAAAAATACACGCAAATGATTTACTAACAGCGCGCCGCGTCCAGTTCGCCAGCCGCTGCGCGTCGATGTAAACAAATGAACGTTGTTATTTACCTATTGGTTATATATGTTATTATATATGTTATTATATATGTTATAACAATGTTATTTACCTATATCTAATTCAGATTGCATACCGTTATATATATAGTCCGACCAAAATTAAAGCAATTTCTCTCTCCGCTCTTCCAAGTTAGCAACTAACTCGGACGTTAACTGTGTGATCGAATCTACATAAGTTTTAATCCGCGTGCAAGCCGATTTTATTGAAGCGCGTTTTCTTCTCAATGCCGAAATTTGCGCGGCGGTAGCCATTTCGAGGAACTGAGTTGAAATTATCGAGAAATAAAGTAGCTGGTAAATTGAACGGCAAATTTCCTACCGTGATCGCGGCTGATTCACTCAGTGATCTTAGGCAGTCCGACCTTTAATTGACCCGATCGTTGAACTGCCTGATGATCCACCTCGAAGTATGCCCGATGCTCCAATCGATGATCCGCTGATAATCATATCCAACGTGATCATGGCCGAATTGTTGAATAATCCTAGACAGTCCGGCCTCTAAATGACCCTATCGTTGAACTGCCTGATGATCCGCTTGGACATATGTCCAACGGTCCGCTCGATGATCCACCGGTGATTGAGACTTCACGGCTTACGTGTCTTCCGTCAGCTGCACCGTCCAGAATCCAAAATACTTGCAACAAGTCCGGCAACTCCAGACAATTCCGAAAGTTTGTTCGGATGTACTTGAATCGCCGGGTGAATTGGCATCCACTAATCCGGTATCTGGCTCGAAGAACCAAAAAAGTGTTGATGATTTTGCGTGTAGCCTGGAGAAGTCCACAATTGACGCAAACGAAGTAGAACCTCTAGCTTAATTTCCTGGTTGCGAAGATGATGGTACAGGCGCCGATTAACGAACTTTTTATTAATCTTGCCGATTTATTTAAAAAGGATCAATTGCGAGCGGTGTCTTGTATATGATCGGATAGTCTAGCTCCGTTGAAAGTCAAAAACCAGTTGCTGTTATCGAGAGCCGCTGCCCATTATAAAAGCAGCGATAATCAACAATAACAAACTTCGAGAATGTTGTCGATCAATCAACAATGCGAGAGTCAGTAGATAACAAACATAAACAGTCTAATGTCTCTCGTCAAGACAAAGAACTTAAATTAGAAAATGATATGAAACACGTTGCAAACAAAAACGTAATAAAACCGAAAGGATTGCAGCCGATTTACGTAAAATATTAATAGTTTATGCTAAAAAAGGATAATGGAACATGATGGTGGATATATTCAATATTTTCAAAAATTAACTACTGTCAATACTTTGACATCATTATATTTATGATTTTAAATTTCACAATTAGTTAATAGAATAGCAAAACCACACATATTTCCTGATAAAAATATGTAATTAATTTTTGTGTGAAAATATTGAGTATCATTATATTAATATATCTTAATTATATTATATTAAACAGATTTATATTTGCAATAAATATATTTACTAATATAGGTATGTTACCTTAATGTGTATTTTGAATATATATCTATAATATAATATCTTCAAAATATCACTTTACTTATTGTTTATCTATCACATAATATTTATCATAAATTTCATTGCCTCTATTCAATAGTAGTCTAGAGACTGTTTTTTAGACATTATATGCGCATAATTATATAAGTGATTCGTCAACAAATTGTCTATTTTCAATAATGTAATTTTTATTAAAACCGCATTCTCTCAATCAATATCAGGCTACTCGTAAAATAAAACACGGTATTTCTTCGTTGGTTGCTTCGTGTAAAAAAACCTAGCAAAGCGCGAGGACTCGCGGAGAACCCCGGAGCGGCATAATAAACTTTTATTCGTAAACTCACCCGACGAGGCACTCGTAAAACAGTAATTTCCGTGCAGCGCCTTAACGTGGAGACCATTTTTTTCGCGAAGCGATAAGAGTACCTGGCATTTGCATTCAACCGCGCCCCGCGCGCATTACTACGCAATAACAGTTTCCTTTTGTTTACCCACGTTTGCGGAGAGACGTGCTACCGACGTGTTTCACTACTCGGCAATAAATTACGTTACACGGACAGCTGCATGAATCTATGCTCCTCGCGGCACTTGCTTCTCGACGCGTGCTGCATCTCGTTTTATGAAAATATCTTTCGTTGTTCCTCTAGATGCAATGCCAACGGCAAAGAGATACGAGTATCGTGATATTATTTATTCCTTACGTTTGTACTCTATATATATTTGCAAGATAAGATAAGAGTTTCAACACGATATAAGAGTTACATCAACATGAAAATATGAAAAAATAAAGATTTTAAATTGCTTTTATTGAATATAAATATGTAAAGCACTTTGGTTGAAAAATGTTCAACTAATTTTAATTTGCTTTCTTATTGATATTTAATATTTATTATAATTTACGGCAGCGTTAAAAATGATAAACGTTTATAATTATTGTTACACTCTCCTAAAGTGACCTACGTAATCTATAATGTCGATAACCGTGATCACCGACGAAAAGCAAAAGTGCAAGTGCGACACTGACGTAAACGGTCGCCAAGCAAGAGAGATATATTTCCTGTTTTCAAACAATTCGAGGTTGCCGTTACGTCAAATACCCCGGCAATATTTCAAGTCCACTAATGTCAACCGTAAATTAATGGACTTGAAATATTGTCGGAGTATTTGGCGTAGCGGCGACCTCGAATTGTTCGGAAACAGGAAATATATCTCTCTTGTTTGGCGACCGTTTATGTCAGTGCCGCACTTGCACTTTTGCTTTTCGTCGGTGACCACGGTTATCGACATTATAGATTACGTAAGTCACTTTAAGAGAGTGTAACAATAATTATAAACATTTATCATTTTTAACGTTGCCGTAAATTATAATAAATATTAAATATCAATAAGAAAGTAAATTAAAATTAGTTGAACATTTCTCAACCAAAATGCCTTACATATTTATATTCAATAAAAGCAATTTAAGATCTTTATTTTTTCATATTTTCATGTTGATATAACTCTTATATCGTGTTGAAACTCTTATCTTATCTTGCAAATATATAGAGTACAAAAGCAAAGAATAAATAATATCACGATAGTCGTATCTCTTTGCCGTTGGCATTGCATCTAGAGGAACAACGAAAGATATTTTCATAAAACGAGATGTAGCACGCGTCGAGACGCAAGTGCCGCGAGGAGCATAGATTCATGCAGCTGTCCGTGTAACATAATTTATCGCCGAGTAGTGAAACACGTCGGTAGCACGTCTCTTCTCAAACGTGGGTAAACAAAAGGAAACTGCTATTCGGCGTTCGCGTCACGCCGATGTAACATCGATCGGGGGGAGAAATTTACGATAGCAATTAGCGCGGCAATGTCTTGCAAGCAGTTAGCTGATTTTTATTAGCCATTATCGTGCCTCCCTCCACCCCCGACAACGCGGGTCCTCGAGCCTCCCCTTCGCCGCGGCCGAATTTTTACTGCCGATGGTGTCCACGTATTACGTCCTACCGCTTTTACGACGATGCGTGTATTGGCAGGATGTTGTTCCTCCACGCGAAAAAAAAAACGAAGATATCTGCGGTGACGCGCGGGGCGAAACAATTAGTCGTAAATGTTCTTGGAACGTCGTATTACGGGGATGGCGCGGCGACTTTTATCGTTGATGCATCGTTTCGTCTTGATGACCCCGTGCGACGCACGTGGCCCCTCTCGTTTCGCGAGAAAGAAAATTACGAGTATACCGAAACGACGCGTGAACGAGGCCCGCATGCAGAGACAACTGGCCCAAGCAGTAGTAACCGCGATGGCACAGACGTAATACGACAAATGTCCGCGCTGTAATTTGCTTCTTAACGTCTTATAACGGTCGGTATTGTCCCGTGAATGCCGGTACCACGAGCTAGCGAATACCGTTATAATGAGATATACGTACGACACGCATCACGCGGGTTACGAATTCATATGTTGGACGCACAAACCCTTATTATGATTAATTGGTTACCCATAAAGCAATTGCCTTGTGCATACATCTTGGAAGACACATCTTGGGAGCTTTAAACAATGTGTATCGAAATTAGATCAACAAACTTCAAATGCTTATAAAAGATATCAGAACAGGTAATTTTTGTTAACAAATCCATGTTCGCAAATGAGCCGTCTTGGCACTACAGTGAATTATCTACAACAGTTGGTTTAAAGTGTTGGCCATTTATTTTAATACAGAGACACCAACAAATTTTTCTTCGTTTTGATTTTTGTTGTTATCTCTCAATAAATATATTCATAAAAATCGCTTTATCAGACGAGAAATTGTTGGGAATCTTCAAACAGATAGAATTTGCCCTTTGTCTTATTAACGCACACGTTATTGTATGAATTTCGAAACAACAATACTTCAGCTTCAAAACTTATTTCTATTGGAGATTTCTCACAAACTCCACATCGTGACACAAGAAGGCATCAATTCTGATGGGACGAGATTTTTCTCGATTTTTTCGTGAATTCAACTTGTCATTCGGTTGATAGCGC